ATGGTTGGTGGGAGTCTGTGCGGGTCTGGCTTTCTCGACCAAGAATTATGATAAAAATAACAAAAATAATAAAACTGCAGAAGTTGCCGTGCAAATGAAGAGGTCTAAATGTAATATGGTTCATGAAATTTAAATTTTCTCGTCTCTCTACCATTCAATTTGGCGTCGCTTAGTTTAATTAGTTGCTCATTGTTTGAAGGACGTGTATCCGAAGGGGGCAATTTGAGTACCTCTCGGCATAGTGATACATGTTGCAGCTTATTTCATATCCCTGGTTTAACGTTTTATTTTCCTTGTTTTTTGTGTATGTTTTTGTGTAATAATGAGTTTGCGACAAAAGAACATAACGATTGAAGCGCGAATTGAATTAAGTAACGCTTCACCTACGAGGGAAAGCGAAAACAATAGGCCCGCGGCTCAGGGAGCCGTTGGAGAATTACGAGCGGAAGCAAGTAATTTAATTACCATGAGAGATCTTATTGGTCAAAGAACGATTAGCGCGAAATTCAAACACGTATACCAGAAATTTTTCCTTTTATTTTGCTATCACAGGTTCCATGAAAAACACAATCGAATTACAACATCAAAAGTAAGAAAAAGGCGCATTCTTGGTGAAATCGTATGTGGCTAATCAGAGTTATTTCGCTGCATCGGCGCGGTACATTGAAATATCTGCTGTCTGTCCTGCGCCCGATGACAGGCATGTCAAAAAATGAAGACGCTATTGGATCCCTTTTTCGCGGGTAATTTATTGCTTGGGCGCGCAACAGTCTTGAACATAACCAAACACATACAAAAAAAACAAAAACCTTACGTTGTAATGGGCGAAATCAAGTTCTTTTTATCCGTTTGTTTGTCACTTCTGGAAACACCATAAAACTGTAAATAACGTTCTTACACTGCGTATTCCGGAGTTACTGAAAAAAATCCCCAAACAGTTCTTCTTCGTCGGCAACCAGGTCCACAACATCTAAGAAGTAATCTTCGCTGTCTGAGGTTTCTGTTTCCAAAGCAATTTGACCACTAGCCAGTCTTGGAAAGGTCTTCACTAGAAACAAGCTTTCTTTCGCTTCCAACATTAGTCCTTTGGCGCGTATCTCCTGGATAGAGGGAAAGGAGCAAAGGCACGCCATGGAGAGAATGCTTAAGTGTGAGTTATTGGAAATGTTTACGTTCGTCATGTATCGGAGCGATTCTTTTGCTTTGAAAATCGCGGATTCCGATATGTTGCCACAGCTTTCTATGTCGAGCACTCTCAGTCGTCTTGTAATTTTCACCATTTGCAAAAAGTGTTTGGTAGAAATTGTCGTCCCACGTAAATTAATTCTTTTCAACGTTGAAAAGCATCTTAATGGTACTTTAAGATACAGTGATCCTGTATTGGCCAAACTTATTTCGTCGCACCTTGCCAACGCTCTCTGTATTGGTGAAGAAACACGTCCACGAAACACAAACTGCCACCATGAAAAACACACTGCAGACACGCTAACTAAGTCTTCTGCTTCAAGGAACTGAAATATCAGCGGCCAAAGAAATAAATCTACTGACGGAGCCATTGTTGCAAGCATGAATGAAACAGAGTCACGTTTGGGTCTCACGTGTATTCAGACCTGGTGAGCATACGACAAAGATCCTCTTGTTCTTCATCACCTTTCTGAATAGTGAATTTACTATCACCTTGTGATAGGTTCATTGTTATTCACTACTTCCTTTTATCACAATTCTTTCATTGACGTGCGTGCTTTCACCAAATATCGGCCTAAATCTTGTATTTTTTTGCTGATAGTCACCCAGAATGTCTGAGAGGTGAGTTATTTTACGTCCTTTTTTTCTTCCCTTTTTTCATTTGTTTTGTTTTTTACATGCATATCATTCTCCGTGTGGCTAATTACGCTTTACTTCCTTGGCTTTTCAGAAAAAGAATGAGTGATACACAGGAAGATTCCTCTAAAGCTAAATCTGCAAGGCCCGCTATTACGGTAAGTTTCAAAAGTCGCCTTACACACTTGTTCAAGAAAACATGACACTAACAAGACTAACAATCCTTTTTTGTTGATTTAGAGGAAAGACCTTTGCGATATGTACGGCAAGAATAATCCGTCTCCCAAGAAACGCCTTATTATTGAGGGTTTGAAGATGGGAAAGAATTTTGGTGACCTGGCGGCGGATCTAAGCATTTCAAAAGCAACCGCTGAAGTTTACGGGATAGATGGCTTGGCAGCAGGACAACAGATAGACCATGAAACGCTTGCAAGATTGTTGGATGTTTCGATGGATTGTTTTAAGCGGATAAGAAACGAGATTGTTGTATGTGAAGACCGAAAACTGCGTACGATACGTGATAATTTGTCGCAAGAGTTTAGCTACAATCAAATTCGTTTTGTACTAGCCTGTCTTATCCAAGAACTTGAACTGTGATAGACTGTGAAACGTATTCTTGCATTACCATAACTGCGTTGATTTGTAACAGACTAAAAGGTCTGAACGCGACACGTGTTTGCACATCGTCCCGCCTCGCGATGCGACGCGCGTAAATGCACCACCTTGGAACTTTTCTCGCCTTCTTGTGCCATTTGTTTTTATGTCCCTATATCTTATAAACATGCGTTTCTATTTCTTAAAAAAAATGAGCTGGTCATGTGGACGGAAAGAAAATTTTACGATGTATTTTAGATCACTTTACGATTCAGGGAATAAACACTACATTTGCATATATTCTAATGTACTCATTCATTTCACTCATGCCTCTCTTTTTAGTCAATTGACGAAAACCCCCCAAGACAATATTCATCCCACTATTTTCTTCCCCATGATTCTTTGTGCGCTTTGACGACGCAGGCCAATGACAAAATTGAGCGGCAGGGGTATTATGCAGAACACCGAATGGCCGCCAAATGACTCTGAAGTTTGGTGGCTAGGATTAGGAAACTGAATTGTCCGGCGCCATTAAGGGTCATTATACTGAGAAAACTGACCTGAAACTTCATTCACTCAGTTTCCTAACCCTTATCACTAAACTTCAGCCATTCGGCGTTCTGCAAAAAATTGAGTAAATTACCAAGATCATAATCCAGGCGCGAAAACGAAAGGTCACGCTACCCGCGTGGTTAGTCATCGTCCTGGCGTTTTCGTCCTTTTTCTCTCCTTGGTGTCACTCATTGTGCGGAATGGTTACCATATCCTCGTTCCCACTGTCTTTTTTAACCCTTGTGTGAAACTTAGGATGACAAACACAGGGTACAAGATTTTCTTTGCCCTACCTCGTTTTAAAAGCAAAATCACTTGCAGACTACCCCAGTAAAAGGTACAAATATAGCTGGATGAATACAGTTATAAACCAAATATTGACTTTCTATTTACGCCACTTGCATTCTATGTACATATTTGTTACATTTACACAATAAGTTATTACAAGCACTAAAAGGTTGGCCAACAGGAGTTTAACTGCGATAGATGGACCATTAGAAAAGTTAAGGGGCGGGTAAAACAATTCGGTCATGAAAAAAAGTGAAAAAAATTCATGAAGTTGGAAGAGACGAATACTTGCCAGCTTAGAAAAAAAAAAAGTAAATCCCCAAAGAAATGACATGCAAACCAGAACTTTAACCAAGCCCCCTTAAACTTTGTAATGATCCATTGTAAGGCATTTTTCCCTCCATTTAATCTCAACCTAAAAAGGACCAGGAATGGCTGTTTTACTGAATAATTTTTCATTATTTGGGAAATTTTCTTGATGGT